CTTCCGTTTTAAAAAAAAAAAAAAAAAAAAGAACGGATCACGGGGACATATGCCACGTACAGGTCCGTATCGATCGGCACTTTCGCCGGCGGTTATCGGCCAACTTAGCGGATTCTTTTTCAAGAGATCTCGAGAATGGCGGCGGATACGTCGAAGGACAGAAAACGAGGGTTGGCTGGTCTAAAAATCGTGCCGGTTCGACGAGTACCGATATTGGTTCGCGTAGGAGACTAGTGCTCGCCCCATTCTCCTCCCTCTTTTTTCTCTCTCTCCATCTGGTTGATTCTTTTATTTCTTAACCGGTGCGAATTCGTGGAATTCCATCGTAGTTTCCGCTGTGGAATTCCGGGTGCACGTTCCAGGCACAGTTGGCGGGAATGAAAATCGTCGGGCACGTATTCGATGGTGTCCCCCGACAGGAATTGCACCAGGAAGCTCTCTTTATCGCCATCGTTTCTCCAACCTCTGACCGCGCGTATCGGATCGCAAACACAAACACCCAACGTTCTTGTGACCAATCGAATTTTACGAACAACAAAGCGGCAACGAGGTTCGTCGTCGAGATTTTGTTAGAGAATACACGCGACGCTGAATAATCTTCGTGGCGTAGCTAACCAGGCTTCAGGGATATGCACGCACCATTGCGGTGATTCAGGATTCCCCGGCTTACAGTCTCATCCCCCTCGAGGAAGACAAGGTTTTTATCTCGACGAGCTTAAGCAGCTAATATAAGGTTACCGTGGATGGAAACGATATAGAGTGGCCGTAAAATCAGGGGAAAATTAAAATTTATACTTCCGAGTGGCGAAACGTGTTATTTGAGAGATTATTGGACAGCCATAGTGACTGAGTACCTTTCGAGACTGTTGTGCCAAGTTGAAACTGTCCTTGTACTACTTTCCAAAAGAATACAGTGGCCTGAGGAACACAAGCGTAAAAATCTGTAGAAACATCTTGAAATTTCGATGAATTTTATTCATTGAATTCGAATTTAGGTGATCTGACGCGATAACGATTCGCCGATTAACTAGGTCCAAGCGTATTAAAATTCGTATTCGTGTAATTAGAAAAGAAAATGAAACGTAGAGCTTGGCGAAAAGGCACCTGATTGAAAAATAAAGGTACGCGTGCATACATTCTGTATGCTATTGCATGTTCGTAAAGAAACTTACGATTGCAAGTACGAGTACGTTGATGGAAATGTCTTCTTAGATCTTTAATTTAGAACGACGCTGTATCGTTCCTACCTAGCGTAGAACAGAGAATACGTAGAAACGTATCTCGGTCAAAGTCGAGTAATCTTCATTATCTCGACGTTATCGTAAAGAAAACGCTAGAAAGGCAAACTTTGCGCACGTGAGAGAGCTCACCTTGGATATAGGCAGCACGGCCTGAATGTCGTCTTTCTGTATTTCGAGGCGAACCTGTAGCTTTCGCCTCTCCGCGTGATGATGATGATGGTGTTGCATTTGTCTCTGCTGTAGTCGCTGTTGATCCATCCCATTTAGCTGAGAGCCGTTGTCGAAAGCGTAGCGTACGCTCCACACGATTCGACCACCATCCCAATTCCCTTCCACCCCCTCCTCGCTCGCCTCCAGAAGCATCGTCAGGATTTCCTCTGCCGATCTGCAAATGACAAAGATGCGTTCCCAGTGACAGGATCCCGATTGTTTCCCGACAGTAATTCTAGCCGCCCGATGCCAGTCAGATTCATCGCCAGCCGTTTATATCCGAAACGCCCCAATTCCTCGCGTAACGCCAACGTCCACGGAGTGTCGAGCGTATTTGGAGAAGGGCTGAACTATTTACAGAACCGATTTCTTTGACGCAGCCATGGCAGATAGAGTTTTTCATGAAAGTGCCGCGAGCCGGGATACCGATCTACTTCCCTTTGAAGTTCGTCTGTCGGTCAATGATTTTGTTTAGTCACCTTGGCGATTCCCTTGATATTCTAGAATTTTATTTTTAGACTCGTCTATCGCATCTGGGATATTACACGATGGTGTTTTCTTTTGAACGTTGCTCACTAATCTACCCCTTTGCATTCGGAAACTTCCGGCTGATCGTCTACACACGTTTCTTACAAAATAAAGAAAACCAAAATTATATTCACTCGCTTACTTCCGAATGCAACATCGTCATTATCGCTACTGTACTGTTTCTCTCCGCATCGATTACTTGCTTTCTCGTAACATAGTTTTTGCAATATCCGCATAAACGTTTAAATCTAACTCACCGCCGCTTATATCGCAACTGTCGCTTGTTTTCATTTTTCCACTGTTTTACAAACTGAATAAACGAGAGAGGAAAATTGCATTCGATGCGCGTGGTTCGATTGTTCGATACGGTCTGTCCTCAGCTTCGCAAGTATTCTTCTTATAATGCTACAATAATCAGCTCGTGTGTGTTTCCGCGATAGCGAAGTATCGTTACATCATAAAAATTATGTTACATCACGAAACAGAAACAATTTCTGGGAAGAGAAACGCTCTATATCGTCGCCGTGTCACAGCACCGACATCGCTGCGAAGACTTTCGTACTACCAGCTAACATACTCTTACGTATACCTGAGTATACATTTCATTTCTATATTTGTTTTTTTCGTGCAGCGTGAAACGAAAGTTTGGAGGGAAGGTATATTTCATAAAAATGTTTGGCTCGTGTAATTTCCTGCTACATAATCGTCAGTAATCTCGTCGTGTTCCCTCAGAGGAGAAATCCGAGTTGTTTGCTAGATTTACGATGTCCCCTCGCAAGGCATATTGCAGCGCAAAGGTTTAGGGAACCATCAAACACGATGATATTTTATATAAATTGATATTTTCCACTGCTGTTATCCATCTTCTAGATACTTCAATATAAATCTGTCATTTTTTTCGTCGCGCGTGCCTCGCCGTATCACACACAAAACGTATGATACGATAATAATTTAATTTGTAATAATATATATAAAAGACAAGTAAAAAATAAATAGACTAAAATTTGTTGGAATCGCAAGGACCAAGTAAAATTTGTTAGAATTCTCGATAGATAAATTTTCCAGTTAGTTGTCCTGATACTTATGGCCGGCGGGGTGTGCGATAGACTCAACGTAGCGGCAAACTCAAACACCCGTGAGGTAACTAACGAATAAGACTTGCCAAAACTAGACAGAAGAAGAACCAAGCGTAAAACGTGGAAGTTCATCCACAGTGAAACAGTCCTGACTAGAGAAGCGGACGTGGGTAAGTTGTTACGTTAAAGCGTCCTCGTAGCCGGTATTTCTCAAGCTCCGTGGAACTAACGAGGATTTCGCCGAACAATCAGCGAGACGAGTAACTCGCGTCGAGGGTATTTCTAGTTACAAGTCGTTGGTGTTACGTAACGCGAGGTGCAACACGGTTGTGTTACAAAGTCGGCGGCGTTTCACGATTCCGTCGAACACGCGTTAACGACCCATCCGTCTGCGTTTGACCGTGAACAAGGATCACCATGGAACAGACGGTTATTACCGAAGGATTTACGACTCGGAACAAGCGTGCTTCCCATCAGTTTTCACAAATTGAAGAGAAGAACGGTCTATCTTGAGATGCCTCGAAGTTTACGGGCTACGAAGTCACAAAGAGATTTGTCTTGATGAGAATTCCAATACTCGAGAGCGCAAAATAATATTCTACGCTCGATGCAAGGTACACTGGTTCACGAATATATTTGAAAAACCATAGAGAACGTTTATGTCCATATTGTACGCGTTATGTGAAACATTTTGAAATTTCATTAGCGCTGCAACGAGACACGACCGTCACGATTATGTTGGTAAAATATGGAACGAATCTGAAAATGTATATGGAAATTGCCAGATATTTATTATAAACATATGTTTGGCGAGAAATTAGTATACTGTGCATTTAAACGTATAACAAATGTTAAATATAGTGCCACTGAATATCATGGTTTATTAATATAGTGGATAATTTAATGTTTGAATGTTTTCGTAATCTCTGTGAATATACGCGAACTCTCCAAACATCAATACCATAGATTATAATATACCTACATATATACTTACTGACAGAAGTTAAGAGACATTACGATCGCTTGGAAATTACTATATACAAGGTAGTTGGTAACTAGTGGTACAAGCGGAAAGGGGGTGATTCTACGCGAAAAAATAAGTCGAAAATATAGAATAAAAATTTTTTTTTAATTTTTCCATCGACGCAACGATCTACAGTGAGATCCACTATAACGAGACGTGATAAAGTGCACGCGTACCGAGCGAAAATTCAAAGTCGATTTCCTCGAAAACAAAGCCTCGAACGAAAAATTTTTATTATATATTTTCGACTTCTTTTTTCGCGTAGAATCGCCCCCTTTCCGCTTGTACCACCAGTTACCAACCACCCTGTATACTCGCGCTAAATGTAAATATCTTCAAACTTTACCCACGTGGGTGTTGGCTAATGATAAATTTTAAATTCCACTATATCGTTCCACCTTTTGTACATTATTCGCCTATCTATTTCAATTATCGTCCTAAGGAATAGTATAGTTTCTGATCCTTTTCATTCACTTTCCTCGTTTATGAGAAAAATCTTGGCGTCTTCTACTCCGTCGTTTTGTTTCGATTCGAGAGCAATTCCGGATGGCATGGCGTGATAGAGACAAGCAAAAACAAACGGAGCGAAAGGTTACGAGATTTATCGGTGTCTTGTAGAAGAAAGAATGGGATTTAGAACGGTGGAAGGCGAGAACAACGCGAACACGATTGGATTTGAAAATGAAACGCAATGGAAGAAAATTAGCAGAAAAGCTGATGCACGAAAGAAGAGCCGAGATGGAGTTTGATTCCTGGTAACGATAGCAAGGTTTCTATATACGTTTTATCGAGAGCATAGGTCTCGATGTTGCGTGTTTAGCGATTTCACGACCGATGATCCAATATCATAGTACTAAACTGTTGATTCCAATGAAGCCGCGAATACGTAGAAGCAGTACAGGGGCAAAGGGGAGGAAATTAAATCGGAGCATCGCAGGGTTAGATGCGATAACATCATCTAATATACAGTGATACTCACTACTTTTACTTTTTGCCCAAACTACGCCGAAACGAACGCTTCGCGCCTCGATTCTCGACTGCGATAAAATCTTTCTCCGACTCTCGCCAAACACGGTCTCACCTCGTTCTCTTGCCTTTCCACCGTTCCTTTATGATGTCATTTGCATATTTCCAAACCCTATTACCTTTCGAGATTAACCTCCTCGAACAGATGCTGGTAAGTTCGTTTCGCGCTACGGAGAAATGGTTTGAAACGCGAGGAGCAAAGATGATTCTTCCATCGATACGTATCGATGCGTTAGTTTTTTCAACAGCTTCTAACAGGTATCTCTATAATTTCGTGCACTGGAGAAAGTGTTCGGATACGAAAGCAAACGCGTCTACGCTGCCACATCCATACATCTGATTTTACATATTTTGTAGAGAAAATTATCTCCTAGAACGGCTGCTATATTTTTAGTCTCGCGCGTGCGAACAATTTTTCGTTCGGAATGCGAAGATGTTGGACGCGTCACGATACGTTTGTTCGACGAGCAAAGATAGCTTCCGCACGATGTCGATACGTGAGTTTTTTTTTTTATAGTTCATATTTGTTTAATTCATACACGGAATAAGGTTCCATGTACAAGAGGTTAACGCAACACGTATAAAAATATCGAAGCGTATAAAAAGATACGTTACGTAAGTTTACAAGAAGCTTGTTACTCGAAATAACGCGAACGTGTGTAAGTGCAAAAATGAGAAAAACAAAGGCGAACGACTGTCTGGAGAAGCGATCAAATTTACTACGACTTGGAATTACGTTTGCGAGAAATATTGGGTCGCAGCTGTATCGCGATACTGAAATAATCCAATAACGGATTAATCTCGGCCGGTCCAGTGATCTATCAGCTTCCCATGAGTACCACTGCTCTTCCGATACGTCGCTTCTTCTTTCTATCTCGAGCTTATCAGGCGTCCGTTAGTGCCGCTATATAAGACCGCGAGCAGACGAGCCGCCAAGTTCGATATCACGGATTCAGCCGGTGAATTATCTTCGCGAGTACGACATGCGTTCCAGTGCATTAATAATCGTCGCTCTGTCCGCTGTGGTGGCCTCGATGATCTACATCGAAGCGTATCCACTGGCAGAACAGAGGCCGCTTGGGCCAGAGGGAAATACAGCCACCGTGAAGCCATCTACGGACTCGTCCAGCCAAGAATCCAGCGGCAGCAGCAGCGACGAGGAGAAAACCAGGAACGTGAACGGAAAGGCCAAGAGAGAAGCGCTCGACGTGGCTGAGATGTTGATCGAGGAAGAAAAAGGAGTTTCTGTAAGGCTGGAACGATCGACCAAGAAGAAAAACGACGACGACGACGATAGTAGCAGCAGCAGTAGCAGCAGCAGCAGTAGCAGCAGCAGCAGCTCTTCCAGCGACAGCGAAGACGATAAGAAGAAGTCGAAAAAGAAATACGGCTGCGACGACAGCGACGATAGTGACGACGATGATTGCAAGAAGAAGAAAAAGTCGAGGAGGAAGAACTGCGACGACAGTGACGATAGCGACGATAGTGACGACGATGATTGCAAGAAGAAGAAAAAATTGAGGAGGAAGAACTGCGACAACGGTGACGACAGCGACGATAGTGACGACGATGATTGCAAGAGGAACAAGAAATCGAAGAAGAAGGACGACGACAGTGACGACAGCGACGACAGCGACGATAGTGACGACAATGATTGCAAGAGGAACAAGAAATCGAAGAAGAAGGACGACGACAGCGACGATAACGGCGACAACGACGGTGACGATAGAGGGTGCACCAGGAGGAAATACAAGAGGGAAGTTGATGGACAGGACAATGATACGGCGAGCAAATCCTCTTCCGAGGAGAAGAACAAACCGTAGTCTTTACAACTTGCTGAACCTCTCTAAGAATCCATGTAGAGGTTCCTTCAACGTAGAAGCCGATTTTCGCACATCCTTGGAGACACGAAGAAAAGGAGGAAGAATCGGAGAAGAGACACGTAGACAGCGAATGTCATTACGTTTACGAGGAAAAGGAACGTCGTAGATCGCGATATTCCGTTTATTGCATATTGTTCAGCAGATTTTACGACGTAACAATTGTTTAGATAGGCATATGTAGATAAAGTTCGTCGTATTATCGTTCTTAATATCGTTCGTAAATGTTTTATTAATGTGGGCGTCATTTTGATTCGCACATCGATACGCGCTTGTACATTTCTACGGTATTTCTCTTCTTGGAATATTTCCGCAATAAAACGAAGGTACATGTGTCTCTCGATTAATTTTCATTTCTCACCTAGTCCTTACAGCGGTTTACGAAGGTATTCGATCGCTTCCTGTAGAAAACTTTTACGTTCGGATATACTTTGCCCAGTCATCGTAGATCGCTCGTCCCATCTTCGTGATAGAATACAGCGCGAATGAAGATGACGAAAAGCAAAAATAGCGACGTACTTACGCGCTTGGTAATCGCGAAGCATTCTCCTTTCGCCTGGCAGTGAACGTAGCGATCGTGTTCTTCGCGTTGATCTTGCTGTCGACGATCCAGTCGGGATTACTGGACGAGGCGTCCAAGATTTTCACGCCAGATTTCACCCTGGCCCTGTAACATTCATCGAAATCTTTATCAACGGCGATATTAAACGATATTAAACGCTGAATAATTTCGTTTATTTTGCGCCGTCTGTTCGAGAATCAAAGAGAATACGTTATTCAGAAAGCAGGAAGAAATCCGATTGGTCGGAGCGAAATTCCATCGAAATTCGCGACGTGGCCAAACAGTCGCTTGAAAATGCCATGTAAACGGAAAAACGACAGAGTAAACGAGAGCGTTTTCCGGTCGTTCTATCGAAACCGCGAGGAAAAAGGAGAGAAGAGGCAATTAAAAAATCAGCATCGAGGCTGTAGGGAGGCGGGAGAGAAGGAAAAATAGACGACGGAAGGCGAAGGAAAAAGGAAACGTCGGAACGCGGAAAATACGGTACTTTGGACGAGTTCAAGGGTGAAATAATTCTCGTGGAGCTACTTTTTCCAATAACCATAGGCACGTTGTGCTCGCGATCGATGCACAGCCCGGCAATTATCGGCTCAACTCCTTGGAATAATGCGACCGACCGGGCACACATCGTCAACTTTTCCAGCCCTTCGGTCCTTTCAATTATCCTAGGTGACTGCAAACGAAGCGTCACCTCCTTGGTGCGTACGTATCGGATTTCCGTTCGATCGCGTCTAGCTGCTGGCCTGAACACACGGCACACTTTCAACCCTGAGTTTGGCCGTCGTTTCAACAACGTCCTCGTTTGCCATGGCATAACGCAAAACCTGTCGCAGCTTCGACTCTCTATGTTTGCCAAACGATCCAAGTTTTCGTCCGTATAAAGTGATTTCTACTCTTCCGGTAAATTATACGAGCATAATCTCTACAAGCAAGATGCTAGATAACTGATCACTGTTACAAGCTGATTTAACGACGATCCTGGTTCATTTGCACAATTTAAAACATCTTAGTCAGCGCTTTACTGATCTTTACGAATTCGTATCTCCGAACAATTAATCACTAGATATCAAGATCATTTTCTTCCTGGAAAGCTTCATTTATATATCAGCTCACGTAATAAATTTGTTTTGTACTTGTTCGAAGAAACGTTCAAGATCGTTACTATCTGGTATACGGACTATTCAGTCAACGATGTATATCGGGTTGTCCCAAAAGTTTCTTTCGTTTTACGAGGAAACAATATAATTTGTTCTATTGGAATACAAAATGGATCAAACATAATTCGATAGAATAATATCAAGCAATCCATCGTTTCTTTAGAAAACGAAGGAAACTTCTGGGACAACCTAATACTTGTTATACGACCTCATATACATGTCATTACTAGAATCCTTAGGGTCAAATCCGAATTGAACTCGGTGCAGCGTTCAATGAACCGCGAAACTCTCTGTGAATGCGCGTCGCATCGACGTAATATATTATAGTCTAAAAATACATAATCGATGTCTGTACCTTCAACCGGATGCCAACACAAAGATTCTATGTCTGAAAATAAAAGGAAAAGGATAGCGAAATTTCGCCGCGATACACCTGTCTAATGGAAAAGTAATAGGCAAATTCGCTTATACTTAGCAAACTTTCAACCTTGTTCCGTCATACAGTCATCGAATCTCCCTGTTCCATAAATTATCCACCGTCTCGCATACATCGTTTATCGACCAGAGTTTCTCGTACGAATCAATTTCGTGCAAGGTTTCGTGTCTCTGTCTCGTGTCAGCCGGTATTCCCATAGTGATATTTCGCGACCAAAAAAATTTATCTAGTACGGCACGTAAATGGAAAGACGGGCGGAATCCTCGTCGTTCGTTTCCGCGGCGTCGCTTATCCCAAGCGATTACAAAGTACCAGATTGGAAATTGAATTTTCTCGGGCACGATGAAATATTGTCGGCCAAGGTGGCCATTCACGGGTGCGGATTCCGTTTAGACAAATCGTTTGCCTCGGAACGGCGACCTATTATATATATCGCGTTTTACTCCCCGGGAGCGATCGCGCGCGACGTCGATCATCCACTCGACGTGCCTCTCGAACGCGAGTGGTTCACGGTAACACCTCCGCTGCAAAAACCTCCGACCGGCTGTTGCTGTTTGTATATTTGAAAAATATTTTTCGCTCTGTCCGATTCGATTACGGGTCGAGGGTCATCCTGTGCGAAAGCGCGAGGCACAACGCGATAACAAAGATATATGGAACGTGACGATGGCGAATATCAATAATACAGAGATATCCGGATGGATGAGAGGATTCGATAAAAATTAATCAAAGGAATTCGCGTTGCGAAAGAGAGCGGTGCCACATTTCTCTCGCGTGCTTTTCGAAAGCGATATAGCGTAGCGTTTCACGATTGCTGGCAATAACGCGCCTCGTGAAAGACCCTCGTGTTCAGCCGAGCCGCAGAAATGTGGAGATCGTTCATCCGGCGTGGCGGTGGTCGCGTCGCAGTTTGCTGGCCAAGATTGCAATTTTAAACGATCGGCTCCGAGGAGACTGGCTCGCGCGTTACGAGACGCAATATCGAGACGTTGATAACGAGAAATCTACGCACTACGTCGACAGCGGGCGTAATTAAAACGTCCCGAAAATGGTTTATGCGGATTAATGGCAGTGGCAGCGAGCCGGCCCACTAATGCGTTTTAATTAGAAGAGCGGCGTGTTACACGCGAATCTCGTGCCCCTCCACCTAATCCTCTTCGTAAAAAAATAATTAATCCGCGTCGTAATTAAACGAGACCACGGTCATCAAAGGAAAGCGTACTCTCTCTCGTGCAAGTACAAGGATCGAGATGAGAATCTTTGTCGCGACTAGCGCGTTTTTTAATCGAGTACAGTGATATGACATACGTAATACGACGAGCCGAGGAACAAAAAATTGTACAATATCTTATAACTATAATCTCGTACGCTTTGCGTTATCGTTCGCAGAAGATACTTGCGATCTATAGAAGCCCATTGTTTCTTTTTTTATCAAACCTCTCTTATGAATCACATTATCGGTATAAGCGGCTCTGCGTTCAAGATTCATTAATAGGTCTTCGAGCGTATCAGCAGCATGACGGTTGCTATTTGTGATACGATATTTCATTGTAACGATATCATTGTACAGATACGCGTATATCTCGAGTTGCATATTACCTCGAAGTTGCAGATGATACACTTACAGACCTGGAACTTCTTGCGAACTCGAGTTCCGCTGGTAGAATAACGCGTCTAAATTCATGACAAATAATTTGACACAGAGCGTCTTAATATTTCGACTCGTAAAGCGACTTATACACCACAACGTTTAGAGTTACGAGGATTCCAATATACTGTATATCGTATCTTTTTACGTTATTCGCATACCTACGTCTACCTAAAAGGATTACTCGTAAATGAATAAGTAAGTTAATTTGCAGTTCGTGTGGCGATGGAACGACGCGTTTAAACATTTACAGGCGAGTATCCGTAAACGAAGTTAGGAAGAAAGAAGAGGAAGGTAAGGCAATATCGAACGTGGCAAATGTCGAGACGACTCGATCGGTAGCTCCGTCACGAAACGGAAAAAAGCTCGTCGTTCGCGGCCACTCGAAAGGACATTTGCCTGGCGTCGCGACGCCGGCTTGGCTACATTCTAGCCGAGTCTTCGCTCCCGAGAATTCACGCTCCAGTTACGTGACCGGGTCACGAGGTCGGTGTTACGGGGAAGTTACGATGCGCGAGGATAGCTGCCGTCTATCCGACGCCACGTCGGATAAATATCAATGCACTCTTCTCTTCCCAACCGATTCGCCTTCGCGCCACCAATGGAATAGCTGCTCGCGTTGTTCGCGGTTCGTTTGCGGAGGCTTCGTTCGCCACGCGAGAAACGAGAACTCGATTGGCGCCGTGAGTTTTTCTTAGCCCGAAGGCTACAGCAGCGAAATCTGATAAGTCACATTGTTCGATTCTTACGAGCAAGTCTAACGATTTGAAACTAAAACTGAGCTTTTATTTGACTTTACAGCTAAACGTATACATTCTACGTGATTTTGATTAGATAGAAGATAGAAAGATATCGGCAGATCGCGCGTCTTCGCGGTTACAGCGACTGCGAGAAACATCGATAGATATTCTCATTTTCCAAAGGAATGTTATTTTTATCAGCTGTTACGTTCCATGTTCAGTGGCGATACGACAAAATTTGATCGAATACCTTTGACTTGTTTTCGTACGTAGCCGCAACATCGGTAGCGCTGTAACTTATGCGGAACATCTTGCGTAGATACGTACGTTTTTCTGTTGAAATCCTCAGCCTCGAGGTATCCCATAGGCAGAAAAAGAAATTCAAAAACATCATCCCCGTGGAAACGAGGACGCGAGAGATAGGGAATTTTTGCGAGTTCGACGAAACGCAACGAAGGGAATTTTACGCGGTCGCGTGTTTCTCGTTTTGCTATTTCTCCGACGGGTGAAAATGCGCAGCTACATTTTCAACGTTTGTGCTACGTCGTTGTTCTCCGCTTTGGGGTCAGGTAATATCCTTCTTTTTTTTTCTTTTTTGTAGCACGCGAGCAGAACTGTAATTGGAACGAATCATTTTTCCTACGCTGCTCTAATGTTCCCACGTTACCTTTATAGTTTCGATATACGCGGCGGAAAACGCAACCGTTTGCAGCGTCCGAGGCGCAACGAAATCGATACGTGCGACCGGTGTGCACGACGTGGACAATCGCGAGCGTGAATTATCGAGAGACCGTCTCTCCGATACAAAATAGAATCTAGCGGCGCTACGATTCCGGTCAAGGGACAAAGCGCTCGTTAATTCGATAGACGATGCAAAACAAGCGGTAGATTCGATTTGTGTGCCTGCCGACCGAGTAGATAAGTCTTCCGCTTCGGCCCCGTTCTCGTACTAGCGTACATCAACGCTGCGGAGATCGATAGAGAGTTTTCAGCTTGGCCAAGGGGAACGAGAACAGCAGCTCGTCTTTTTTCAAATCGAATTACACCTGGTCGAGGTCGATTATTCGAAGCAAACGAACCCTCCGACTTAATTAAGTTAACCTCGTGTCGGCTGGAAATTAGGGTTACGAAAGGTTGCGGCAGGTTAGTCGCGATATTCACGCGCCAGAGAAAAAGGCTAGTCGTCCCTGACGAGAGAAGGGTAAACGCGCTAGTCGCCGGTAGGGAGAGAACGAGAATTGGCCGGCTTTTGAAAAGGAACGTCCACGCAAAAAGGGAACAGTGGTGAGCTTAGTTTGCCCTCGACGCGAAACCAACCCCCTGTTCGGAATGACAGCAAGCGTTTCGTCCATGCAATTACAAGTCCGAATCAAGTTATTTCCGCGGGGCCATCGACTGGCATTTACATACAAATCGGCGACGTGCAAAACGGCTGGTATCGGGACGATCTCGACAGGCGAGGGAAGCTTGCCGGATCGCGTTGACGAACGACCGGTGTCGGGCTACGGCCACAATTTATTCAATGACTGGTACGGCTGGCGATCGATCCCGTAACGAAACAACGCGACATCCCGGCCGATTGCGCAACCGGTACATCGCGAGGAACGTTCGCTCGATTAAGCATCAACGTGTCACCGATAATTCGGCCGATAATTATGATCGAAACCGAGAGACGGTCGGTTGGATACGGTTTCGTTGTTCGTACACGATATTTTCGAGAGAACCACGGGATTTGGCCAATATCGCGGTCGCAACAGCTGTAAACGTGTAGCCGCAAGCGGGCGCCGATTATATAAAATTCCTGGCTGACGTTGGAAGCCGATATCGTGAAAATAAAAGCAGGATTCCTCGAGAAAGTGTCGAGGCCACGGTACATAAAATAAATCGACGTTTTTCGGATAAGACTCGAGGACACGAGCGCAAATTCTTTTATCACGCGAGATAAGGACGCGTGTGCAAACTCCTTCCGTAATCGAATTTCTAAGCGAGTGAAGATAGCGCTCTTGATTTCTCGTTAAAGGGATATGCTTAATCCCAACCAGAGCGCGAATCGTCTTGCTGAAACTAATTTCGCATCAGACTATTCCTCGATACGAACTAATTTCTATTCTCGCATATCGGCCGAAACGCGTTTCATTTTAATGCGCCCGGGGTTTTCTTTTGGAAACCTTTTAGAGAGAGAGAAAGAGAGAGAGAGAGAGAGAGATTGAAAACGAAAAAATTGCCTGCGGGAAATTGATTCGATCTAAGCGATGGATTTCCACGAAAGCAGAGCTCCTGAAAATCTACACTTTCCTGAACATACATGCACGCGAATCCGGCTTAAGAAGCATCGTTTCGCGTGTACAATACGAAACCCCTTTCCCATCTACTTTAACAGAAGGCGCGACTGTTTCTTGTATTCATAGAATCAGGTCCATGGTCTGGCTGGTCCATGAATCTAACCAGGCTTTTTCAACGAGTCAGCTTCGATAGCAATTATCAAGCAACGATGTCGAGTTAGAAAAGGGGTCACGATAGGATCGTTGAAAGAGCCTGATTGCCGCGGTGCAGCTCGCGAATCGCTTATGCGAGCACGAACGAAACGTCGGTGACAAGGAGCAGGAAACTGTTGGAGAGTTTACTAACAATGGAAAAGTTGTAACTTTACGCGAGGTGCTTGACAATTCATCCAATTAGAAAATTCCTGTTCCTCCTCTCTGTTCCAGATCTTTTTTCCATGCCACCCCCGCTACTCTCCCGAGGGGTGCATTAAGACAGTTCCGCTCGCGTGGACGAAAAACGGACGGACGAGCGAGCAAAATAAATTTCAGGAGCTCGCAGAATCTTCGCCGTATCTCATCGGTATTTTTTCAACGCGAGGAAAAGGAAAAATCGAATGGAAGTTGGCAAGTATGTTCGAACAGCGATTATCTTGAACTTGAAACGGGCACGAAACGAAAAAAGGAACGAAAACTGTACGCGCGATCTCGAGCTGCTCGTTTCGTCTGGCAAGTTTCTCTGTTGCGAAAACGTGCTTCGTCTTTTTCGTAATTACTTTTCCAACGGCTCGTAATTACGTACAAAAGAAACGCAACGAATTCGAACAGCTCCGCCGTTATCGCTAATTCGCTATTATGTAACTAACTTCCCGATGGAACGGGTAACCGCGTCTCTCGCCGCGAGATTCAACGTTTAAAATATTTTTAACCGCTTTACGATGTAATGCAGTTTCATCGCGATTCGCGGTAATCCACCTGATATAGAGGAAACTCTGGCGGCACAGAATAATACGGTTCTGCGTTCCGTATTCCAGTCGTATTGTTCGTTAAATTTTTCCTAATTTTCTCAAGCGTTAAATGTATATTTTTTACACATTATTTTACACGTGTTTTATTTCCTTCTATCAAGTTCCATTTATAACGTAAGTCGCTTTTTTCAAATTTAGATTTTGCCAGCCCACTTTTAGCATCAATTTCAGCGAAGTTAACGAATGAAACACCACCTTCCCCATCGTGTACAACCCCCCGCTATTGGATTAGAACCACATTCAATACGTTTCATTTTTTCTGTAAATTTGGCAGACGCGATCACGTTGTAATAATAAAATTCACTGACCAAGCTTAGGTGTTGCACATATAAATAGCAATTCGCAGCTCAGTTATCTGAAACCTCGCGTTCTCATTATTTTGCCAAATATTCAAAATTGTTATCTTCAAATCGGATAATGCAGTGGTGAGACGGGAATATGCACTCGCCAGACATTTTCCACGACGTTCAAATCGGCTAAATTGTTTGAGAGTATTTCGATGGATATTCCTCGAAACAATGTAGGCAAATCGTTGCTACGTATACTACGTTCTTTCATCATGTGCGTAATTAACGCTAATAATTTGCACAACCAAAAACCGGTCGCCCTTTGTCCGACCTAATGTCAGGTCGTCCGAAAAGTTTCTTTCTTTTTATAAGGAAATAATGGACGAACAACATTTTTCGTTTTATATTATTTTTCCGAATTACGTATGATCCATTTTGTTCTATCGAGATAAAGATCACAAATTAGGCTTCATGTTTGTACAAGGATGCGTCTGTAAAAGAAAGACACTTTTCGGGCAACCTAATACACTGCTCGAACGATTGAAAGCGCAATTTCCGCGTGCTGATCAAATCGACGACTCTTCGTGTCAAGGACTAGCAAAGAAACGATCTCTCACCTGAGATACACAGCGATCACGATCGGTGGCCTTTCCTGTCTCGGATCGGTAACCTTGGACGGATGCAGGAACGCTGGAACGTGTAACCGAGACCTCGGATAAAGGGGCCCGTGGGGCACCAGGAGTGTCAGCGAATCGTCGGCCTTGAGCTCCTTGTAATCGGCCCGGTTCGGAGCCAGAGGTACCTGACCCAGTGGCGTGACGGGTTGAATCTGAACTCTGGGCCTGCAGAAGCCAGCCCCGTTGTCAGGCGAGCCAGCCTCCTCTGCTCGTGGCTCGAGCACGGAGTAAGCTACCTGCACGAGCCTGGGCAGGCTCTTGGCGACCTTGACCCGGCCAGAAGCGTCCGGAGGAGGTAACGGTGCCCACCAATCGGCTGGTATGGTGATCTGCGCCAAACAGACTCCGTTCTCTCCATCGGGGCTGCACGCTGCCGTTAGCGCGGAAGCGGACGAAGAACTAGAGGAAGAGGAAGAAGAGGAGTACGAGGAGGAAGAGGAAGAGGAAGAGGAAGAGGAAGAAGAAGAAGACGAGGAAGAGGAATAGGGTCTGCCGTTGTTGTTCCTGTTGGCAGTGCTCCTCGATGGAGCGGCCAAGCTCGCGTGCAGGACCACACAGACTCTTTGATGTCGAGCGAGAAGCAACTGACGCCTTCCGCCTGCCTCGCTTCCGGCGTGAAAGAGCACTCTTAGCACGGGCGAGTCACGAGGCACGCTGTTTCCAACCAGATGAGCGGACATGTCCAGATGACGCGCACCTAACTCCTGCGCGTCTAGAATCGTCGCCGCTGTTAGGTTTCGCCTCGTTTCCGGGCCCGGTAACGCGTCCAACGGATCTGGAACTATGTAGCGAGCCGGTA